GTGATCTACTGAGTGTTTCACTGTGCCTTCTCTTCCTCCCTCCCCCCTTTTTATCTCTGCTCTCTTCTATTGCTCTCTTGGTTCAATTTAATTCAGTGGGCTTTACTGACACGGTGGTTTAAGAAACAAAAAATCACCCACATTGCCAAAGTGTTTTATCACACTGACAACAATAATGGAAATGCTGACAATGGGAGAGAAATTAGAGTCAAGAGAATTAAAAAGATATTGGTTGCTCTCTTGTCCGCTTTCTTCATTTCCCCCTCTTTTCTCCTTAACTTTCTCCTCCCTCTCGTTTCTTTCTGTCTCCGCGTGCCTCTCCTCCTCTCCCTCCTTTTCTCCCATCTGCTAAGCTAGCAGGAAAAGTGTTTTCTGAATCTCTTGTGTCAGCACCACTGTCAGACCTGCATACCGCTTCCTAACTAAATATTATTCCTCCCTCTTTTTTTCCCACCATGAGTTGCCTCTGTTTCTCTTTTCCTCTCTCCTCCTCCTCTGTGTTTTGCAGGGAAGCTGTACGTTTACAGTTGTCTTGCGTTCACGTCTTTCTTGTTCTTGTTTTGTTTCTCTCCGGCTTTGTATTGCCGCCTTGTTCTTGACCTCTTTTTGTACCTGCAGCTCGTCTCAGTGTATTGATTTTTTTAACCCCTAATCGTTACTGGGTAAAGTGAGGAAACAATAGTAGAAAAATATGCATCTTATCGAGGTCAGGCTTTCATTTTCACTTCCAAATTCCCTTTCTTTCTACCACTACTCACCACTTCTCCTACCAAATACACACACATGTAAACACATACACACACACACACACACCTCCAGGTTCCTACCAGCAGAGTAATACGAAGCCATTAGCAGGATGAGTGCTGACACGGGGAGTTGTTAACAGGCACTTACACGCACACCCGCACACTAACACAGGAAATTACTCTGTCATTTGCACCTACCGGCCAGTTTACACACTGCCTCTAATACACAAACGCATACATGTTCAGAACTGATCACCCTTAGAAGTCGGCGCGTGTACATGACAGCTAGGAACAGATAAATCAATCATCTAGAACAAGTGCTCCGAGCTACTGAGTCAGGGTTTATAGGCTGATAGAATGAGGCTGCTGCGTGGCAGTAATAAAAGAGTAGAGTCTGGGTAGCTGCTTTTAAACAGGAATCTCTGCCCGTGTAGGTAAATGCTAAAAATAGACCAGGAGGAATTCAATTAACAGCGAGGCTCGCACTGAGATTTGATAGTTCACATTAAGGAGGCACAGCTCAGCAATATTTCTCAGATCAAACCCGTCCAGAGTGGTTGAATCGTGAGTGAAAAGTTTGGGAAAACTGGGCTGAAAGTTGAGTAGGCTCTTAATAGAATCAGGATAAAATGCCTTTTGAAATTAGTTGCTTCTGCTCTTCAACTCTCTTCATCTCATACATGAGTTTTTCACACTGTTTTTCAGATTTGTGCAGCTAGAATTTGAATAGTGAACTAAGCCTTTGCTTGTCAAGCTATCTATTTCCATTCCACTCAAAATTCTTTGTGTAATTGGTCCTCAATTTCAGATGGAGGTACACAAAAGCAGGTTACTAATATGCGGTGGGCAACTGGCCTTTCAGTCGCTAGCTAGCTACTTAAGCTAATGTTAGCCCAATGAGTTGGTTGAAAAGCCTTTAGTTTGGTTACAAAAGAAAAAGCTTTTATGGATTAGGACTAATCAATGTGTTAAACAAACATAGTGCTATCGCAAGTAGCCTTGGCTGCAGTGTTAAGTGTTAACCAGACGTTGGTCGATGGGGAAAAAAAATCCTCCACGTTATCTTTAGATTAATTTCATTGGCCACAGTGTGCTGAGTGCACTCTACTTGGTAGTGTTGTGTGTTCACCAAAGCGCTTTTTTCCTGTCACAGAGCACTCACTATTTTTAGCCCAGAAGCTAACGTTAGCCATTCTGCTCCACTGTGGTTGTGCCCCTGTCAGCAGAAGCTTTGTATTCCAGCCTTGAACTGTGTGTTTTTGGAGACTTAAGATAAATTCAGTGATAAATCCCATACTGAATAACTTTTGTTATTATTAATCTGTTTTTCTGATCAAAAACAAGAGATCTAAAAAATGTTTAACTTTGGGTAAAAAGTTGCACTTATCAATGTCACCAGCCTTCTAGTCACAGTGGAGAAGGGACGGGACAAAAGACACAAATACCAGCTGTCACATAGGACAAGTGCTGACCAACAACTGCTGTTTTCAGCTGGGAAAAGGAACTCTTTGGTGGACCAGTGGCCTTATCAAAGTAACACAAGTGACTCCTCAACCAATGCAGATTTGGTCTAATAGAGCATATTGACCAATCAATCGACGTACCAACCAGAATGTGACAGCCCTAACAGAATCAGAGCCGCTAACATTAACTTACACTCTGATACAGTCCATCCAGCATCCAGGATCATATTTTCATACATTAGAGGATGTGGTTAAGTGAAAGCGGCTTTTTTAATGTGTCCTTTAACCTCAAAAAATAATGTAGTCAACTAATGAAATGCATCTTGGAAGTATCGGTTTCTTGTGTAGCTAGCAGACAACAGTTAATTACATTTCTTACACTTTTAGGACCCTGAAAAACCAACTGATGGTCAATGTCTGGCAGGACTGTCGCCCTAGTTTTTGCGGTGTGTCTCTTACTGTTGGCCCTTGTCTGCTTTTTGTAGGCCAATTTAGCATATTGATCTTGCATCCCAGCCGGTGGACTCAATTGGTGAGTGATATCACTGTGGTTGGCAGTTTAGCCCAGTGCAAAAGAAGAGAAACGGAAGTGAGGAAAGTAAACAAACGAAGTAAAGTCAACTTGTTATATGAGGTGAGATCATTTTATAGCCATCAAGCTCTTTAGCTGAAACAGTTCATTATTGTTTGTGCTATATTGCTAATGAACATTAAAATGTGCTCGCTGGCTAACTAGCATCTTGAATCCGTCCTAATGGTCTTCTAGTTTCCTTTTCTGAATGACGAATACAGACTTCTGCCACCTACTGGTATAGAGAGTTATTTCCTCTCACCCAGGGACAGAACGCACATGCTAGTTGGATGTTAGTGGTAGTGTTTGCGGTGTGTTCAAGTGCAACTTTTTGGCCGAGACACTGGCAACGTAAGGCTTAGTCAACAGTCGTCCTTTGGTTTGGTGTGTCCGGGCCTTTACTGTTGTGCTTTTGGTTTTGTAAAAGCTATGAAAAAGACCTCAAAACTCTTGAAATGTTTGCTAAGCTGTGATTGGGTAATTGCTGTTTGATGAAGGGCGTATAGTGAATAATTTATGTTAGTGCTTCATTGCTTCTCTCTGTCCATGTGTCTGTACTGTATGTCATACTAACCTCTATGTGTTCATCTCTGTCTGTATGATGTTGTTACCAGGCTGTCTTATCAAAAATGTATTGTTTCTTCTGTTTCCCAGCTTATTAGCATTCATGAGTTCATTTCTCCTTCAGGTTTTGATGCTCTAGGAGACCTGTTGAAGCCTACGATGCCCACACACACTGCACCTCTTCCTCCTCCTCAAATGGCCATCCATCATGGAGGAAAGCTGCTAGCCAACGACCTCGACTCCTCTCTGGCCAACCTCGTGGGCAGTGAGTGTCGAGATGCATGTTTACGCGGAGCTGAGTGTGTCGACAAAGGGAAGGGAAAGAAGCTAAAAAAGTTGCAGAGTTTTTAATGGTTAAACATTTATGTGATTTAACACTTGAAACTCTCGGCCTTGAAGGTATTCATACACACATTGAGTATAGATAAAACGACTTGCACTGTTAAATAAAAGACATTTTTTTCTTCCCTTTTTAAGAATTAAGTCAATTAAATTTTGCAAGACCTCACGGAGAGTTTTCACTGAACACATCTCAGTACAAACTAGTAAAGAGATCATGTGAGAGAACACAGGTGACGTATAATCAAGAGTATCTTAAGTAGAGATACCTACATTCAAATCTTTCATTTACTCTCTTTCAACTGTGATCACTCAGTTTCTCTGTGCTCCTATCTTTCCTCAGATCTGCAGTTTGGTGGGACCCCAGCCAAGAAGTAAGTGTCTTGAGTTGTGATGATACTTTACAATGTTGTGCTTATAGTCTAGGCCGGAGGATTTATCCACTGACAAAATAAATACACCTCCCTGTTAGAGTTACCCTCGTCTGTTGCCAGCATTCCTAACCACAGCCTGCCAAAATACAACTTTTACTGCTTAAAGTCAAAATCTAATTTATTATAAAGTATTCAATTGCTTTTAACTGCTTAGGTTTGTGCTTCTGTGGAGTGTTAAAGTCAAGAGACTGCTGCACACAGACTCCCATTCATGTTTCTGCTGTACTTGCAGCATTGTTAGTCTTTAAAATTCATGATTTGCCTCACGGGGGACAATAAAAAATAAAAGAAATTAAAAGGAATCTACAAGTAAATAGAGCAAATCTACTGCGTGTTCTTTCTTCCAAGACATGATTTTGGTGTTGTTTGATAGACTGGCCTGAGGTTGAGCGAGTGGGGGGAAAAAAAAAAAAAAAAATTAAAAGCTTCCTTTGTTGCTCTGCTCGTCGTTCTCCAGGCCAGAGATGCAGTGGAACCAGCCTGGAGAGAAGAAGCTGACGGGAGGCCAGAACTGGCAGAATAAGACCATGTCGACCACACAGTGGGGCCCTGCGCCCATGGCCCCACAGCCCATGCCTGTACAACACGTGGTAAGGAGACTGATACACACACTGAACACTGTGGGAGGTTGAGTTTGCCTTGACGAACATCCATCAAGGTGTCCTGAAGTCCTGCAGAAAGCCTTAATGGATGATTCCACTTATTACAACTTGGGTCTTATCAGTGATGGTAACAGTTAACTAACCACATTAACTGGTAAAAATGGCAACATATAAATAAGACATTTGGCAGGTCAAAAACAAGAGCAGTCCACAACATTTCCAACATTTTGGTTGTGCTCACTTCCAGTGTTCCTCCCAAATAAACTGGTTTCAATAATCTGAGTAAACTGCGGAGCTTGTTTACAATCTGTCTGATTGTCTCTGAATGCTCATGTTTTTTGCCCATGTGACTTTCCAAGATCTCAGACATGATGGCCAAAGCTATGAAAATAAGAGCCAAGTTGTAATAGAGCAGAATTATCTTTAATGAGGATCCACCAAGGCATCTGCAAGTCCTGGAAATGTTTTGAAAACTGTTGTTTGGAGGCTGAATTCTTGGCCTTCAAGAGTTAAATTAAGTCTTAAACTAATTCATAAATGTATTTAATAAATTGTGGCTTATTATTCGTTGTATTAAAGGAGCAGTTTGTCATTTTGGGAAATATGCTTATGTGCTTTCTTTATGAGAGTTTGATAAGAAGATCAATAAGGGCTGGGCTGGGTGCTACCATGTGCCAACATTCAAGGGGGGGAGGCAGGTTGCGTCTGATGTTGCTAAGCGACCATAACTAGCATCATATCATAGCCAGCTTTTCAAAAATCTTGGGTTTAGAGCTGATCTTCCAAACATTGCTTTTTTAAGTGTATATTAGATGTAAAGCTCTGAGTCTCGCTACACTAAAACGATCAACTTCTTACCCACATTTATTATAGACTTATGATTGGGGAAGACAGGACAGATATCTATCGGCTGGGTTTGGTTGGTCCTCGTCACACGCTATGCTACAATTGCTGCTGACTTAGGAGCAACAGACAAACGCAAACGAGAGAAGACTCAAAAATTATCTCATATGTAGCTCAGTTTTATACAGTATATGTAGTTGGGGTCTCTGCTCTGTCTGTCTTTGAGCTAAGGGGTCCTTGGCGTGAAAAACATTGAAGACCCCTGCACTAGAGCACCAAAACCACAGTTGAGAAGAGTCCGCTCCAGATTTCAAGTGCGCTTTCCGTGTGTTTACATCATAGACTGCATAAATTAATGGACGTAGCAACTGTGATGTCAGCCTTTGGTTTGTGGACTGTTGTTTCAGAGCCACATATTCAGCATTTGACCACCAAATTGACAATATTTCGAGGAGAGGGTGGAGCTGTGTAGGAGTGAGGGGTGAATCTAAATCTTAGACGCTTCGCAGACAGCCCTGTCAGTCAAAGTGGCCCTGCTCTTAATTGTGCGTAAAACTGGGTCTTAAAAAAAATGTAAATTACCTCTAGAGACCAAAACCATTTTTTGCACCAGGCTCTAAACATGTTGAACAGTTTGGCATCTGCTGTAAAATTTGGATTTTGGCACTTATGCATTGATTTCAGTTTTCAGCCCCGTAGGTTGCTGCTTGATCCTCACTGACAACAATGGATTTGCAGAAAATGCGGCATGTGTACCAGCTGTAACCTCTCCTCTCCATTCGTTAAATATAGGGCTGTAGCCATGCAGGTTAGGTTAGCTTAGCTTAGCTCAGAGACTAAAAACAGGGGGGAAATGCTAACCTGGCTCTGTAGAATGCAATCAACCTGCTTTCACCAATAAAGCTCACCAAGTAACATGATGTATCTTGTCGGTTTAATCTGTACAAAAACCAAATTATGAAAAAAATAAAAATTTGTGAGGAATTTTACGCCGGACTGTTTCTTGGCTACAGCCAACAGCTGGCTAGCTTAGCTTAGCTCAGAGACTTAAAACTTTGTGGAAATGGCTAGTTTGGCTGGACATGAAAGTGGTATCAATCTTCTAAACTCATACTTACAGTAAGCATGTTTCCCAAAATGTCAGACTTGGTTTCAGTATTTAGTTTGGATCTTCAGATGTACATTAATATGAATGTGACTTGCAGACACCTCGCTAATGAAACACCAAGTCAACAATTATTGCACACACTGAATGCTGGACTTGCATGTGAATGCTCACTGAGTATAGATGGAAGTATGGGTGTATGTGAGTGAATTGACTCAATACAGTATACAGCTGCCTGTGCATGCTGTGTGTGTGTTTGTGTGTGTATGTGTGTGTGCTGATCTTGGCAGCTCCTGATTGTCCTCCTGATCTCTGGACAGCAGTTTCTGGCTGACGAGGACAAACTGTCACTAACCCTCCGCTTCCTCTCTTTCTCCCCTTTCCCCCCCAATATCTTTTTTTTCTCCGCTCTCTCTCTCTCTGCTGTTGGTCCTTTCCTTCTTTCTTTCCCCTTCACCCCTGCTGTCATTCCTCCTCATCTCTCCTTCCTGTCCTGCCTGTCCTCTTCATGCGTTTCTTTCCTTTTATTTTGCACTGTCATCCACTCGCCTTCCTTCCCCTCTTTGCTCGTTTTATCGCATCTGTGGTTTGCGTTGTCGTCTGCTCGTCCTGTTTTCACCGCGCTGCCTTTGACATTTGTCCATCCGCATTTTGACCCCTCATACGTTTATATATTTTCCGTTGGTATTCATCTTTGTCTACGGTTGTGGTTCTAACATTTCTTTCTTCTCTCTTTCTTCCCATCTGTTTTACCTTTTCTCGCTATTTCTCCTCACCATCTTCCCCTCTTATCTACTTCCTGTCGTCATTCTTTTATTCAACCTCTATTTCTTTATACTTTTCTGTCTAATTGCTCTTCTCTCGTCCTCACTTCCTCTGTCACATCTCCCTCTCCCTATTTCTTCATAATTCTCCCACTCCTCCTCTCTCTTACCTTCTCTTGGTCCCTACCTCGTCGTCTCTTCTTTGCTTCCCTCTTTCATCATCTCCTCATTTTCTTGGATTCTTGCTTCCACCCTTACGTTGTCACTTTCTCTCATCCTCTCTCCTCTCCCGTGTCTCTTTCCTTCCCCTCTCTGTCTGTCCTCCTCTCCGTCTTTGTCTCTTTTCCCCTGTTGCGTCCTGATGCAGAATGGAATGTTCTATACTAGTTATGTAAGTACTTATCCCTGTTTAGTAAGACAAGTCCTAATGACTCCTATAATGTGCTTCCAACCTCCCTTTCGCTGTCTCCCTCTTCAGCTCTTTCTCTGTCACCTCTTTCTTCCTTTCGCTGTGTTCTTTGGAAACACTTCTTTCAAAAGAACTCCATTTTGTTCTTGCCGCAATTTCCGCAAATAACCCACTCACCTCTGTGCTACGGGCTAATGATCTGCGCCGGTTATACAAGCACTAAGTAAACTGTCTGACACCAGCAGGGTGCTGCTTTTCTCCTCCTCCTGTACTGCTTTCTTTAAGAGCAGGTTCAGCCTTTTTTGTCTCTTGTACATCTTCCTGAAGGAAAAGTCTGGTGATATTCTCCATTTTTGTTATTATCAACAAATTCCATTGAAAAAAACAAAAGTGAATTAATACTAATAATAAGTATTGCCTGTGGATCCAAAACCTGACATATACTCTGTGCCATAAACCTCCATATTTGTCCAAAAACATCAGTGACCTTTGTTGTTGCACAGGGTTTCTTATTTCAATACTAGTCTTGCCGCTGTAGCCGGTGTGACCAATGTTAGAGTATACACAGATTACATTACTTGCCCACCACCCACACCATGGTTTTGTTTTTTATCAACACTTCGTCAAATGACAGACGCTACAATTATAAAAGGGAAGCAGCAGCAGGAGTCAGATTTCACTTATCACTTGGCGAGAGTAAGGAAAGTTGACCAACAAGACTATAGTGGAGGATTCGTTGTTAAAGCGAAAAGCAAAAGCGCCTATTTCGGAGTATTTTGGATTTAAACCCAATGTCAATGGAGAACCTGATAACGTTAATAAGGGTAATGGAGTTGGGTACATCACCAAGAAGTTGGAGGTGTCACCTTATCTAACAGCTCGCGGTGGCTGTTTTTTCTTGTTCCAATGCTTCCTGGAATATGTCAAACTGATCCGCTGTCAACAAGTGCCGTAAATGACCACTGTTTTGTTTTCCAGACACATTTCTAATGAATGATTGCGGCAGTGCTAATGTCTAGTGATGGCCAAATGAAGCCTCATGAACCACTTTCATTATTTTCTGTCCCCACCAGATGGCGCTCTTGGTTTAAAGATAAAGGCTGAAGGACTGGCAATGAAGTGTGCTTTCAAACCTTTGTTGAACACACAGTGCCATCTAGTGGCTTCAGAAAATAAAGACAGTGGTT